ATATACTCAATTCAAGCTGCACAGCATGATAAATGCAAATCTAGCATTTAAAAACATTCTTCATGGGTTGGGGATTTAGCTCAGTGGTTCTGCCACCTGCCTTGCAAGCGCAAGGACCCAAGTTTGCTCCCCGGTACCAAAAATAATAATAGTAATAATAATAAAATAAATAAAAACATTCTTCACACATCAAAAATCAACAAGAACTTCATGGGTGACAGGCACTCTTATAGTACAGTCTTAGGAAAAAATATGGTCCTTGCACTCAAAAGCTATCTGTAAAATGGGGATGTTACTCATAATTAAGAATTTTATCATAGTTATATCATTAATCATAATAAATCTTAGAATTTCTTCTACATCCCAATGCAGATTATTTAATGTTAATCAAAATCTTAGTTCTCAGCTAGTTTGAAGCTACAGTCCTCCACGAGACAAAATGAAAAAGAAAACTTCTTAGGGCTAACAGTGGTACTGCGGCTGCCTGGCAAGGGCAAGGTCCTGAGATTGATTCCCAGTACCTGAGGGGAAAAAAAATTCTACCACTTAAAAATTTTCCAGATAAAAAAAGACAAGTATCATTCCTACCATGCTAAACTATTTCTCCTCTACACTATCCATCTAATTCTTAGTTTTAGTCTTCTATCTTAACCCTCCTCTTTTGGATACATTCCACTTCTAATATTAGTGGCCCATTACTATAACAGAATGGAGAGGGCAAAAATAAATCCAAACAACAATGGCCAATTACTTTTCTACAAGGGCACCAGGAAGGCAATGGTGAAAGGGTGGAGTCTTCACTTATCAGTGCTGGGAAAACTGAATTTCTACAAGCAAAACAAAGAAATGGGACCCTTATTTTATACCATCTATGAAAATCAACTCAAAATAGATAAATGAGCTAAAAAGGTAATACCTGAATCAATGAAACTCCTAGATGAAAACATAAAGAAAAGCTCCTTGACATTGGCCTTGGCTATAATTTCTTGGACATCACACCAAAAGCTCAGGATACAAAAGCAAAACTAAAAAATAGGACTACATCAAACTAAACATCTTCTGAATAGCAGAAGAAACAACTGACAAAATGAAAAGGCAAATTATGAGATGGGGGAAAAAATATTTGTAGACCATGTATCTAATAAAGGGTTAATACCCAAGATTTATAAAGTACCCATACAACTCACTAGCAAGAAAGCACATTAACACAATTAAAAAGACAACCTGAGGAGATATATCTCCAAAGATATAAAAATGGACAACAGGTATAGGAAAGGGTGCTGAAAGCACCATTTATCAGGAAAGTGTGCTCAAAAGTACTATGAGGTATCACCTCACACTTGTATTAGAATGGCTACCATCATCATCAGTCAGAAAGACAACAGGGGCTGGGGATATAGCTAACTAGAGTTGGCAAGCTTGTTGAGTAAAGGGAACTTTTACACACTGCTGGTGTAATGAGACTGGTGTAGCCAATACGGAAAAGACACACACACACACACACACACACAGGCATGCACACACAGAGGAATATTATTTAGCCTTTCAAAAGGAGATCCTGCCATTTGACACAGCACTGATGGGCCTTGGGAGCATTTTCTAAGTGAAATAAGCTAAACAGAAAAACACTGCACTTATATATGGAATATTAAAGAAAATAAAGTCTAATAACAGAGATAGAAGCTAGAACAGTGGTTGTCAGAAGAAGGAGAGTTTGGAAATGGGAAAAGATAAGTCAAAGGATGCAAAGCAGCAGAAATATAAAGTGAAAAAGTCTAAAGACCTAACATACAACATGATAGCTACAACTAATAACCTACTGGATTTTTGTCCATTGAATTGATTATAGTTGTTCTTGCTTGTGATAGAATGGATGTGTTAATTTGTTTCACTGTAGTAACTATTCTTCTATATTTACAGTATATATATATTTATCTCTTAACATCATGATATATACCTTGACTACATGATAAATTTTACTTTTAAAAAAGTTACTATGAGGGCTGGGGATTTAGCTCAGCAGTTCGGTGGCCTGCCTTGCAAGCACAAGGACCTGAGTTCAATCCGCGGAACCAAAAAAAAAAAAAAAGTTACTATGACTTCTTTACTGAACATGTATTACACATTGCTCATATTTGCTTTGCCCACCTATATGTCTGTAAGGTAGCATCTTGAACTTTTTAAAGGGCCCCTGAGGCCGGAACAGTGAGGTCAGAGGTTGAACTTAAGGACTTCTAACATCTCGCATTCCCAGGAATCCCTGAATACTAAGATATTAGCATTAGCAAAATAAGATTGACAACTATGGCAATAAACTTCATCTAGATTCTTATTTCCTACATCTAGAATTCTAAAAAGACATCTGACTACTCTTTTCAGAAAAATTACACTTAATCTATGGAAAAAGTTTTTATTTGGAATCCACTCAAATATTCACAAAGGGTAAATGGATGGAATGCTCATTGATGTTCTTCATCCAAACAAAAACAAACTATAAAACCCATAAATTCCCAAACTAATATCAATCCAAAAATTCAAAATAAAATTACACCATTGTTCCACATGAGGAAAGAACATAATGCCTGACTCTTGACACCTTGAGGCTCACAAATGTCAGAGATGAGTTTGCAGAGAAAAACCAGGCTCTGCCATCAGAGCTTCCTGTGGCTGCTTTCTATGGCTGGCATTGATCAAGAACAGTTATTCCAGGACCCCTGACCTACCTTCAGCACTGGCACTAACTTCCTAGACATTGATGTTGCCTACACTTTGTCCAAATCCTACCAAAGCAATACATGAATGACTTCAGGAGTTAGCTTGGTCTGTTGTTTTTAACTTCATGCTTTCACCAAGCCACTCTACTTGACATTCTAGAGACAGAGATGAACAAGAAGGCATAAATATCCCCAGGAAGAGAACCAAAAAATAAGTCTGAACCTTGAGAAAGGCTATCAGTTTGAAAGAATCTGTGTTTTTTTCAAACATTTTTCAGCTTCCAAGAATCTTAACTTTAAGTCATGAAAAAGTAAAGAGTTATAAAGTTGTACTGTTCTCTAAGTGAAATAAGCCAGACACAAAAAGATAAATAGTATACAATTCTATACATACAAGAAAGAAGCACAACACACCAGTGACAAGGGGTAGACTGCTAATAATCAGCCAACCAACCTAGCTGAAGATGAGTGGAAAACTTTTAAAGGAATCAGCAAGTCCAGCTAAGCTAATCTGTGATGATGCTTTAGCTCTGCTATGAAAAACAAGAGGGCCCTATAAAAATCTGCTGATCTGTGCTTTTGCAACTTCTTGTTTGGATCTTGTTTTTCCCTTCATCATTGGCAATGTTGTTTTTAAAAGATATGTCTTACAAGAAAACAGAACCATGCATATATAAACCAAGTTCAGGTTTAGATAGTTACCCTTTGTCCTATTTATAACCATTTAGACCTAACCACTTTCACAGATTATCTCATTTCACACTCACAAGAGTCTTAGTAAAAATTCCCAATTTACAGGCAAGAAAACAGAGGCACTCATATGTGCTGACTTTTTATTTTATGCACAGGGGCATCATGCACAACCATGGAATGTGCCATCTGACTATCTCTAAAATGTTCTACAATATGAATAGAATTCACCTGGTGTCTAAAGTACAGGGAGAGCATACAAAGTAGAGATAATCCCATTTGATCAAGGAACAGATGGTCAGAGTGCACACTTTAGTGGACCAGGATCCAGTTTGGTTGAGTACGGAAGATAAAAGATAACTAGAGCTGGCAGGAGTATAGAATGAAGGGAATATTAGCTACCCATGGTGGCACAGGCCTGCAACCCAACTCTGAGAGGCTGAGGCAGTAGAATTGCAAGTTTGAGCCTAGCCTAGGCAACCTAGCATAGTTAGGGAGAACCTGCCTCAAAATTAAAAAAACAAAAACTTTAAAGGATTGAAATGTAGCTCAGTGTGAAGGCTCTGGGTTCAATCCTCAGTACCATGACAGGGGATGTAGAAATGTAAAGAATATAATCTATATTATATTTGAATTAATAATATTCCAAAGTTTCAAATAAAGGAATTTCACACACTCTACTTAATCTCATTTACAATTCAGTAACTGAGAAAGCTCTTCTCCCCTAATAAATACATTCAGACATTGTATTAATCACCTAGCACCTGGAAAGCACCAACCCTTTCGAAGATACAGACACGAGCTATTCTTGAGGTCTCAACAATCTGTGGGCAACATAAGACGAACACACAAACAAGACACTTCAAGCATCACATCCCTCAGAGGAGGGGGCTGGATGTACAATGTTAGGCATCTGTGAGGATGAAGGCCAATGACAAGTCGTTTTTGGAGCCAAGTAAAACTGCTGGTTAGAAGATTTCCAGGCAGAATGCAGGGTATTAGTTTTCTGTGAACTGCAAAATATAAATCTGGCTACTTTTGTGAATTACCTTTACTATATTCACCAAAGGCCAGGATTTCCCAGTAAGTTAAAAACACCTGTATATTCATATCCAAGAATGACTTTAATAAAGCGTTCTGTAAACAGTTTAATGTTACGTTAACACATTCAGAGGTTGTGTCACTATTTTGATCAAGTTAAAATTAAAAGGAGGGAGTCGATCACTAAAGAACTCAGGAAAGACAATGCTGAAAGGTTCAGCTTTGTGAGTCTCATCCTACAGAGCTGTCTCCATTTCCAGAACATGGTGCCAAGAAAAATTCCCTCCTTTGCCCTCATCCATAACATCTCAGTACTCCATTTAATACACCTCTTAATAGCTGAAGCATTCATGGGGAGAAAAAAACGTTATGTCATCTTTTCCAAAAGTATTCAAGGTAGCAGAAAATAATTACCAAATTTATTCCATTTTTACTGCATACTTTAGCTTTCAAAAAAACTGTATAATAAAGGCCTATCAAATTGAGTGACTTTTTACTGTGACCTGAAAAATGTACCAACAAAGCAGAGAAAAAGAGCCTAAGCATTTTTGAAATACTGATAATATCAGCATAATTATTCACTAGTTTTTTTTAAATAGATAAACCACAGTTTGTGAATGTTTGCTTCTGACAATAGGCTATGGTCTTTTTAAGGAAAATTATCACATCTCTTGGGGAAGGTGAGCCCACTCCAATTATATACTGGCTGCTAAAGCATCAAAGGTGAAAGAACAGGTTGAAGCGTGTTACAGTTTGGATATGAAATGTCCCCCAAAGGCTCATGTATTTTGAAGGCTGAATCCCAAGGGCAGCAATGTTTCAGAAGTGGGGCTTTTGGTAAGTGACTTCATCATGACCTCATCACTGGATTGATCCACTTGTGGGTTCATATAACTTGATGGGCTGCAAGGAGATGATGGAGACTTGGGGCTCTATCTTGTCCCTGTCCATCCTCCCTGGCTCGCTCTCTCTGCTGACACCCACAATGAGGTGAATCACTTTGTTCTGCGCTATCTGCCATGATGATGGCCTCCCAACAGGCCCAGAGGAAATGGACCCAAAGGACCATGGGCTGAAACCTCTGAGATTGGGAGTCAAAATAAATCTTCTTTAAAATTGTTTTTCTCAGGAACAGAAAGCTAACAGAGGAAAATCATCAAGGTGAAGGACTAATCTTACAGCATAAAGTAGAAACAAAATAATTAAGACAGCTCTTGAGTGTATTTTAAAAGGAACAGTGTTCTAATGAAAAATCATGCACTTTGGTGATCAAAAGACTAAAGATTTATTGTAGGCATAAACCTGAGCAAGTTCATCAAGTTGACTGAATTTCAATTTACCTATTTGTAAAATTCAATCAATTAACATGTATTAAGTAACAAGCAATATTCCAGTGTCTAGAATTCCATAAAGTAATGCATAAATCTCTGTCATGATGTAGGTTATACTCTAATAGCAAGAGCATACAAAAATATACAGGAAAAAATAAACAGAAATTTAGAAACATAGTCAAATGGTCATGAGCATTAGAGAGGAAAAAAAAATGCAGGAGGAGGACAAAGAATGGTCGGGGAAAGCCTCACTCAAAAAGAATGCTTAGTCAAAGAGAGGGAGAAAACCTGAAGACAGCACAAGTCCTAGAAGGAAGCAACAGCAGCAAAGACTCTGAGGTAGGAACGTGTTTGGTTTGTAGAAGGAACGGTAAGAAAGTCACTGTGGTAGTTGCAGTGTGACAGAAGGGTACAAGGAGTGTAGTGGAAAATAAGGGCAGTGCAGGGTGGTAAAGGGTGTATGGGACAGGATCCTGCAGGACAGCTAGGCCACTAGAAGGTTTGGAACACAGAAAATATTTCACCTCACTTATGTATCAGAATAAACACTGACCTCAAAGAATTCTTTGGGCAGAACCAAGTACAGTATGAAAGAGTCTGATGATGAGGACTGTGATTATCATCCCTTGGTACTCAGCCTGCCATTGCTCCCTGCCCCCTTTAAATATATATGGAGTGAATATAAAGTCATCTTTACAGCAAGAGCCACTACAGAGAATGGTTTATACTCCAACAAATATTTAGCACCTATTGTTTACTCCTTTAAGTTGATATCTTCTGGCATGTGAATATTGAAATATTTTTTGAAAGACTGAATTATAAGAAGTCTGTATTGTTTATATATTTGTTGTACTTTTCTTAAGAGTTTTCTAAACAGGAAAGTTGTACAAATGTGAAATATTCTTATTACAGTGGACCCTCAAGTTACATCTGGCCTGACATATGAACAACTTGGGTTAATCAGTAATTAGGTTAACGGAAGATCCAACTGCCTCTTGTTATCTGTATGTACCCAGGTAAACATTCAGATCTCAGCTGTACTGATTTATAATCACTTGAATTATAATCAGCCCTTGGGAACCAATCAAGTTCATCAGTCAAGGATCCGCTGTATATACCAAAATTTCTGTTTGACTTTTTTTTTACATGAGATAGCTTTGACAAACTCTTCTGCACAAGGTGGTAAATACAAAGAGCAACTCTCTTAGTTCTACGGCAGTTCTATTATATTGTATCTAAGAACTCAAGGAACATGGTTTTCTGCTTTTATGTAAAACCATGAACAATTATATTTCAACCTAAAAGGACAACGTGAAAATCAATCTCACCACCAATCAAATGGGCCAATAGGTCACAAAATGATATGTTCTTAGTGTTTTCCTGTGTTCTGCCCAGAATGAAAAAAAAAAGAGGCACAAATGTTAGGTAAGAGATTCTCCTGTTATTACAATTACTTAGTCAAATTTCTTAATTATCAACATACATAATATATACACAGGGCAAATCTGCATTATGGAATGATACTAAAGTATAACTCAAATGTTAGTAATTAAACTACTGAACTAGATAAATATCTCTTCTGATATTAAGCAGTTCATAATATCACTTCTTGGAAGCAACTGCAGCAACTGAGAGCACTGTCAACTTGAGAGGAGAAAGAAAAGTATCAAAATAAACTGTTTCCAGGGCTGGATTTAGCTCAGTGGTTCCACCGCCTGCCTCACAAGCACAAAGACTTGAGTTTGATCCCCAGCAGCAAAAAGAAAAAAAAAAATTACTCTGGAAATAGAGACATTAGGACGTCTTCTCTTTTTGTCATTTTTATTTTATTTTGTCCTTTCATCTAATGTGTGGCTACCACTATTGTGATATGAAAATAAATCATATTATCATCATAAATTTCTACCCAAAACTCAACGGGACGGGTTGCCAGGTGACTGGACACTGCCATTTGATGTCTTGCTGGCAACAAATACAACTTTTACTGCGCCCAAAACTTCTACGCACTTCAACTCTGTGCATCAACGCATTTCATCTTAATCCACTCTGAGGGCTGTGTAATTATCTCCAATCAATGTTTGGAAGTAAACACTCCAATGTCACACATTTGGTTAAAAAAATGTGGGGGAGGGAACCTGCTTTGGCGCCTAGGCATAACAGTTCCAGAAACAGCATACTTAAAATCCCTCCTGGACGGACAATGGTGCTTTATTTCTCTCAATACCTAAACCAACTAGATATAAAATAAAACTGACGTTCTACCTCCCTTCTGTCTCTCACTATGCTACTTCCGGGGGAACACAACTTAAATTTCAATCAACTGGCCTCAAAATATGTCTCACGCCTCCCGCACGAAGTCAATACCTGGGTGGTAAATACAAAGCCTGGCCGGCTTCTGTCAAAATTTCACTGAGCACTGGCTACAGAACGGCCCGAGAAAAGCAAAGCGACCCTAGAAAATGCAGGGCTGGGTCTGGGCGCTCTGTTGCACCCTCCCCGGGGGACACGAGACCCGGCCCTCAGCGCTCCGGAAGGAGCTCCCGCCGCCCTTCCTCGCCTTTCCGCAGCCTCCACACATCCCCTCAGCACTCCCAACCTCCCGGCTGGAGACACTAGTGCCCTAACTAGCACTAGCTATCTTTACCTGTTCCTCTGCTTCCTCCATGGTGCGGTAGAGGAGTCACGTGACAGACCCGGAAGCAGGAGGAGCCTGGCGCTGCACCGAGAGGTCTGCTGGGAAATGTAGTTTTAGCCGCACTTGCGCCGGGCAGTCTTCTTGTCCGATTAGAAGAGTCCGAAGTACACTTCTTGTTACTGAGCAGAATCCATTGCTAATGCTATGGTTTACTTTATTTCTATGGTTATTAGAATATTTTTAAAGCAATATATACATATCAGTTGCTGGGCATATAGCTGATCATGAATTATCTCACTTAACCTTCCCAGCAGTCCCTCCTAGGATCCTCTCTGTAGGGGAGAAGACTGTTGCTTAAAGGTCACGCTGGGGAAAGAGTCCCAGCCCGGGTCAGGATTTGGCCCTGCCTGATGACGAGGACTGTGATTATCATCCCTTGGTACTAAGCCTGCCGTTGCTCCCTGCCCCCTTTAAATATATATGGAGTGAATATAAAGTCATCTTTACAGCGAGAGCCACTACAGAGAATGGTTTATACTCCAACAAATATTTAGCACCTATTGTTTGCTCCTTTAAGTTGATATCTTCTGGCATGTGAATATTGAAATATTTTTTGAAAAATTGAATTTTTAAAAAGTCTGTATTGTTTATATATTTGTTGTACTTTTCTTAGGTGCCTCATATAAGCAAATATTCAAGGTAGAATTTAAATTGTTCTTGGTAAAATCTGCACAACTGCTGTATTATTTCCATCCTTTGGAATAATTGATCCCCTCTCCATATTACTGAATGTTCCCAGTCTTCAGGAATCTGCAGTATCTTGCCAAAAAACAGATGTTTTCCATTCACAGATAAGCTGTTGGGCACAATTCTACATAATTTGGGGGAAAATCATTCCATAATTAAATTATGATTAGGCCTACTTTTCCTGCCTACAGGCCAGCTATGGAATGTGGAGACATAACTCCATTTTTGCTTCCAGGTATACACAGCTAAAACCTCAATGTTCCCATGATGCTGTGAGGGTCTGGGGCAGGATTACATCAATTGAAGACATCCTGGGGTTGGACAAATTCCTAATCAACATAAATTCCTCAGCATATTAGGACCTTCATCAACATAAATTCCTCATTGTCCTAGGATTATGGCTGCTACCCTCTGAGTCATCTGTTACTCCTGATGTATGGAATAAAGGTGTGGCAAACTCAGGGTCTTTTGTCTTTGCTGCCCAGAACAGCATTGATTAGGCCCAAAGCTCAGTTTCTTCTCGAAGTCTCACTTCCTATCTTTATTAATTAATCCACCCTGTGCTGTCATGGCTCACAGGAGACCAGGATTCACTGCAGGGGTTCTGGTAACATTCCCTTTCCCTGTTCCTTACAATAAACTAATAAGTAGCATAAATGTCATTCTGTGATAGATGTCTCAGCACCTTCTTTGACTCTTCATACCTCATTGACTAGGTAATAGCACAGACCCAGCACTCAGTTTCCCTGAGTGCTCTACATATACCCTGCTCAACCTGATTCCTCAGTGGTTCAGAAGCCTGGATGGTCTCATCTCTTAGACACTCATCTTCTCCGTAGGCACAAACATCCCTAGTTCCTGCTGGAGTCTCTCTTTCAGTGTCCTAATCACCTATCCCCAAGGCAATGAAGATAGGCCACCCCAAAGGCATTTGGATGGCCCTAGGCAAGCACTCAGTCCCCTAAGTACCAACCTGTTCCACCCAAGAGTTTCTAAGATCCGTTGCAAAGCAGACCAAGATCAAACTATTCATGATGAACTCCAGGTTCCAGAAAGACCTTTGTACTATGAAACTCCTTAGTCTGATATCCACAGAAATTGAAAGTAAACTAAGCTCTTCTACTTTTCTGACTTTCTTTGCAAACTGTCATTTTCTGTTTTTCCCTTGTGAGCTAGATCCACCTAGGAACTTACAGGACACAGCCTCTTCAAATTGGCAATCTTCTCTGCTCTGGTGAAAAACAGAAGTGACCAGGATAAAGAAGAATAATGGAAGATTATTATCACTGTCTTCCATTCAGGGTGCTCTTGATTTACTGCTCAATTTTATTTAGGTGAAAAGTCAGGCAGAGCCTCAGGAGACAGAATAAATAAATGCTAGTAAAATTGTCACTGAAATCTAGAACAAGGTTTTGTTCTTTTTCTGTCCAAATTCTCTTTTTCTTTCCAACAGTCAATATGTGGACCCTTAAAATTTTGGAGGCTTCACAATCTAGTGTGGTGGTGAGGGGTTCTCACTTCTATATCTCTTTCTAGGCTCTTTCTCTTCCTCCTAACCTTACATGGCCTCTGAGGCCACCTGAGCTTTATCTTTCCCCAGGTTACTGCAGTCTAGCCCTATGATGACCAAAGAAATAGGGGTAGGGATCAGCAGAAAGCCTTCATTGAAGGAGTCTTCTAAGAATCTAAATCAATCCCTTGTGAGGGCCTCTACTCTCCAATTTCATTGCTGAATTTGCTATCTGTTCTGTTTTGGCAGCTGGAGCTCCCTCGGTTTATATGTCGAATGAGTCTGATCCACGAATTCTCCAAGGCATCCCTTTCTTGTGCCACAGGTTCTTCTCTGAGAGACCTCCGAACAGAGAAGGACCCAGTATCAGTCCAAGCAAGCAAAGCTGAAAGCCAGCCATCTGCTCTGGATTCTCTTGCCCTCCTACTTTTCTAGAGAGAAGAATGTTCAGCCTCTTTCTTTTCAAGTCCAGTACCATGGATCTGATTAAAGAGGCAGCCAAAGTCTGCTACAAATTCTCTAAATTACGGCATCAATCAAACATGTTAGATTACTTTAAAGATCAATTTTTGAATTACAGGAACAATTCATGTTTATGATATATGATTGGAAAAATATAAAAGTAAAATTCAAAAGCCATTGATAATTCCTACATTCAGGTCATCACTAGTGGATATATTTCTTTCTTTTCTCCTCTTTACCTTCCTCCTTTCTTCCTTCCTCTTCCTCTTTCTTTTTTGTACAAATATTAGTTTGTACAAAGAAAACAAAATTTGACCACCAAAGCAATTCATTTTCTATTTTGGGCTGTTTCTGCTGTATTCCAGCCATTTATAGGATTGGCAAGGCTAGCATGTGACAACCAGGGAGTTGAACCACCATTTATGGTGTTATCGTACGAAGACACAGCTTGGTGCAAGACCCTGACCCAGAAAGGAGGGTTAGAGCCTTTCTAATGTTGCTTTAAGGAAGGAATAAATTTGACTGATCCTAGGAGGAGTTTTCCTTTCAAAAACGGAACAGTACCAAGGAGAACACTAGGAAAAGTTAACAAGATGAGCCAGCAAGATGACACTGCACCCCAAGGTAAAGTGTGATCCTGATTAGACTCCATGGGGAGGAGCTTAACTCTCTTGCTGTCTTCTACCCCTTCCCTCACTCCCTGCTCCTTCCATATCTTCCCATTTACAAAAACTCTATTTCCATTTAATTCTTGTTTTAAAACCAGATGAGTATTTCTTGTGACAATTCCTTAAATAACAGTGTAACAACTATTTACAGCATTTACATTGTATTACAAGTGAAGAATAATCTAGAGATGATTTTAAGTATACAAGAAGATGTGAGCAGTTTATGTTGCAAATACAATGCCATTTTATGTACAACACATGGGCATCTGAGGATTTGGACGTCCTTGAGGATCCTGCAACCAGTCCGCTGTAGCTTTGGAAAACAACTGTATTTCTGTCTGGTATGACATTTAAAGATACATATGGGGCCATAACCAGAACCAAAGGCCTCTCATCTCCAGCTGATGAATCGCAAACTTCTCTATACACATGGCTCCCCTCAGCCTGTGCCAACACGTTCCCACTGCCTCCCAAGGCCACCTGAGATGCTCTTCCTGTCAGCCCTTTCCCTCACTCTGGTGCCTGTAGATCCTGCATCAAACTGAGGCGCTCTGGCCTTGCTATTCCCAAAGGCACCTCCTGCCCCTTCTTCCTGATTCCCCTGTGGAGACCCCTCTTCATCTTTCCACTGGACTTCGACACATGGCATTGGTCAGGTGAGTGGAAAGGAGGATGGACAAAAGCCTTTGGATGGGAACAGTCATGGAGAAAGAAAACTCTTTCCTGTCACGAGTGACAGACATCTCTCTACCAAATTGTCTCTGGTTTTCGCTACCCCAGCTCTCTTTCTTACAACCTGAATGACCAACTGGTCCAGAAATACCATCTCAAGTGTCTATGGTATGTTGTGATGCATTTACGGAATTGTCTATCCGGTACCTTTTTTTATCCTTTTTCTCAGGCTAGTTTTCCTACCACCCCATTTCCCCGGTCTATCACCCACGTGGTAACTACAAAGCCCCCCCCCTCACTACACACAGTTTATCCTTTATCTTTATCCTTTCCCCGAGGTTTCCAGAATTAAGAATGAAAGAGGTCAAACTCTTGCCTGATGAGAAACATTTTTGTTGAAACAGGTTCAAATTAGTTTTGTGATGCTTATAAAGAGTCCTAACACATGTGTATAAACATGCATGTGCACAGGCACATGCGCACGCACGTGTGCGCACGCACACACACACACACACACACACACACACACACACACACACACACACTGTTGCTATACGCATCTGTTCATCACACACACACACACACACACACACACACACACACACACACTGGCTTGCTCTAAGCAATCTTTGTGTTATATCTTCCCTGCCCTTTTTCTCTAGTAAGTGGGCTTTGGTAACCAGGGAAACCGACTTGGTTCCCGGTCCTAAGGGATTAAGGAAAGGTATCTCAGAATAGATAGAAACAGGGCTGAATTCTCTGCTCTTTGGAAGACATATAATTGCCACTCCCATTTTTTCTTGTATGTTCCCTCACTTCCATGTAGCTTTGGCAAGGGGTGGATTGCACCACCCTTCTGATGCTGGCTGAATTTCACCCAGTAATTGACTTTCCCATGCCTTGTTTGTTGGATTTCAGATGAGCAATCAGCCAGAATCATGGCAAGGAGCCATTTCAAAAGACGATTTCAAGTTCAGGAAAAACTGTAATACAAAGATATGGGTTCAATTAT